TCCATATTGAAGACCTTGACCTTTTGCAGCAAGTGCTTCAGGTCTTCTTCACCTTCAGCAAGCAAGATTGTGTCATCTACATATTGTAGGCTGTTTATGAGTCTTTCTCCAATCTTGATGCCACACTCTTCCTTATAAAGCCCTGCTTCCCAAATGATCTGTTTTGCCTACAGATTGAAAAGGTACAAGGACAGGATACAGCCCTGACACACTTCTTTCCTGATTTTGAACCATGTAGTGTTTCCTTGCTTGGTTCTGAGGACTGCTTATTGGTGCAAGTATAGGTTTCGTATAAGCACGATCAAGTGTTCTGAGATTTCAATTTTCTTCAAAGTTAGCCACAGTTTATTGTGATCCACACGTCAAATGCCTTTTCATAGTCAATGAAACAGATAGACATTCTTCTGGTACTCTCTACTTTCTGCCAAGATCCATTTGGCATTGTCCCTAGTGCCATGACCTAAACCCAGCCTGTATTTCTGGTGGTTCTCTGTCAATGTACTGTTCAAATCTGTTCTGGATAATCCTCAGCAGGATTTTGCTAGTGTGTGATATTAGTGATAATTCCCACACTCTGCTAGGTCACCATTTTTGGAATGGGAATAAATATTAATCTCTTCCAGCCAGTTGGCCAAGTAGCTGTCCTCCAGCACTATATAAGATGGAGAAGAGATTGAGGTTGTTAGCAATTATAGCTTGCTTAGATCCACAATTAACACTCTTAACACCAGCAGTAAAGAAATCAAAAGACAAATTGCATTGGGAAAATCTGCTGTCATAGACCTCTCCAGAGTACAGAAGAGCAACGATGTCAGTCTAGAGACAAAAATGTTCCTAATCCAGGCCATGGTCTTCTCAATTACTTGTACATTTCCCCATTTAACTATTTCATCTCCTTGTCAAAATTCGGTTTGCCATAAGTAGATAAGCTGATTTCTGAGTTCTCAATTCTATTCTATTCTATTGCGATTGTACCAATACCACAGTTTTGATGACCACAGCTGTGTAGTAAGATTTAAAATCAGAGTGAGATGCTTCATATCTTGTTTCTCCTTTTCAGGAGTGCTTTGCTTCTTCGGCATCTTTTTCCATTCCAGATGAAAATGAAAATTGCCTTTTCAATCTCATTAAAGAATGGAATTTGTATTGGGATTGTATTGAACTCATAAATTGCCTATGGTAGAACTGTCATTTTCACAATATTGAGTCTTCCTGTCCAAGAGCATGGCATATTTGTCCAGGTCTTTTTGTTTCTTGTTGTAATGTTTTATGTATTTCTTTGATTAGGTCTTATCTGTTTGTAGTTAGATTTACTCTCAAGTATTTAATCTTGTGCTTAGCTACTGTGATGGGTATTGTTTTTCTTAGCTTGAGTTGTATATTCTCTTTGTCACTGTAGAGAAATTCAATTGATTTTTGTATGTTGATCTTGTACCCTGCCGCTTTGCTGAATTGGCCAACTATGTCCAGTAGTTTCTTGCTGAGTCTTTAGGGTTTTCTAACTATACTATCATGTCATCTACATATAAAGATAATTTTACCTCTTCTCTGCCAATTTGGATACCTCTTAATTCCTTCTGTTGTCCTATTGCTATTGCTAAGACTTCCAAGGCCATATTGAATAGGATAGATGATAGTGGGCATTCTTGACTAGTTGCTGTTCTCAAAAGAAATGCCTTTAGTCTCTTTCCATTGAGAATGATGTTGGCTCTTGGGTTTGCATATATACTTCTTACTATGTTGAGGAAATTCCCCTCTGTTCCTATTTTGATGAGTTTTTTAATCAGGAAATGATGTTGGATTTTGTCAAAGACCTTTTTTTTGCATCAATTGATAGGATCATGTAGTTCTTCTTTGCTTTGTTAATGTGATGAATTACACTGATGGTTTTTCTTATGTTGAGTCATCCTTGCATACCTGTTATGAATCCCACTTTGTCATGGTGAATTATTTTTTGATGTCTCATTGGATTCTATAGAGCAGGATTTTATTCAGGATTTTTGCATCTGTGCTCATGAGAGATACTGACCTATAATTTTCTATTTTGGTGGTGTTTTTACATGACTGTAGTATCAATGATATGTTTGCTTCATAGAAGGAGTGTGGGAGATTCCATTTTTTACTATTTTCTGAAATAGTTTATGTAGAATTGGTGACAGTTCTCTGAATGTTTGATACAATTCACTGGTAAAACCATCTGGTCTAGTGATTATTTTGGCTGGAAGTCTGTTCAGGTGTTCTACTATGGTCTGTGTCAGTTTGGGTAGGTTACAAGTTTGTATTTGTCCATTTCCTCGAAGATTCCATATTTGTTTGACTATAGTTTTCCATAAAGTCCATTGTTAATCTTTTTATTTTAGTTGGTTTTGTTGTGACATTGCTCATTTCATCTCTTACTTGGATTATTTGTGTCTTTTCTTTCTTTTCCCCTATTAGTTGTTAGTGGTTTGTAGATTTTATTGAACTTATTAACCTTTTTTGTTGATGGTTGCAATTGTTTTTCTGGTTTCCAATTTTTTTCCCACTCTAATTTTTATAATTACCATTTTTTAGAGGGTGTCAGGTTTTCTTGACGTTCTTTTTCAATTTGTTTGAGATGTTGGGTAACAAAGTCAGTTATATTTTTATTTTCTATTACTTTACATTATTATATATTACATTATTATATAGTCTATTCTATTCAATTATATATTTTTTTCTTGAATTTTCATGTGTTTGCTTATTGCTATAAATTGACCTCTGATTACTGTTTTGGCTGTTTCACAACGGTTTTGGTAAGTTGTGTTTTCATTGTCATTTCAAAAATTTTTTTAATTTTTTAAAAATAATTTTAATGAACATTTACAGAGAATTTGGATTTCCATTCATTTATTGCTGCACTTCTCTACCCACCCAGCCCTCTCCCCCCTGCCCCTCAGTTCACTCCTCTCTTTCAAAAGTAAAAGAAAAACTCCCTCCCTGGTACACAATCCCCCCGCACCCCTACCACTGCCTCAAGTACATTCCACTATGCAACCTTATTTGTGGACTCTTGTGATAACCATAATACCCTATCACACATTGCTTTTAAATTATTCAGTCCCTCATCTGTTTCAGTGCAGTATACACAATTTATCCAGTTTTTTTCAGTCTACTTATGTTCAAGCAAGGTGTTGTTCAACTTCCAAAATGTATGGTTTTATCTCCTTTATCCTCTTTGAAAAAAATTTTTAAAATTAATTTCAGTGAACATTTACAGAGATTTTGGATTTCCATTCATTCATTGTTGCACTTTATCCTCTTATTAATTTCTAATTTTGTAGCATTTTGGTCTGAGAAGATGCTTTGTATTATTTAATTTACTGGTGTCAGCCTTGTGACCTAAAATATTATTTACTTTGGAGAAAGTTCCATGTACATTGGAGAAAAAAGGTATACTGCACTTCTTTTGGGTGCAGTTGCCTATGCGATCAAGTCAGCTTATGGGGTGGTTTAATGTTGAGTTTCTTTCTAGTAGTTTTATCTTTTCTTGAGAGTCGTATATTGAAGCCTCCAACTACTATAGTTGTGTTATCTATTTCCTTTTTCCGTTTTGTATATTTTGCAGCTTTATCATTTTGTGCATTGATATTTGTTATTGTTATGACCTCTTGTTCTACTGACCGTTTAAGCATTATGTAGTGACCTTCCTTGTCCTTTGTGATGGTTTTTGCATGGAAATATATTTTATCAGATATTAAAATCACTACTCCTGCTTTTTTTCTGGTTGTCATTTCCTTGGTATATTTTTTTTTCTACCCCTTTGTTTTCAGTCTTTATGTTTACTTTTCTGGAGTGTCTCTTGTATTCTGCATATTGATGGGCTTTGGTTTTTGTCCAATATGCTACTCTTTTTCTCTTCAGTAGTGCCTTTAAACCAGTCGCATTCAATTGAGAGGCTAGGTTTTATTGCTATCATTTTGTTGAGTTCTTTTTGGTGTTGTTGTTGGTCCATCCTGCTTTCTTCGGCACCACATTAAGGAGGACGCCTCTTAGTGTTTCCTGCAACAAATTCCCTTATGCTCTACTTTTCTGAGAATATCTTGATGTCTTTTTCATATTCAATGGGCAGTTTTGCTGGTTATAGTATTTTTGTTTGACAGTTGTGGTCTTTGATTGTTCAATATATGTCATTCCACTGTCACCTTGTTCACGTGGTATCTGCTAAGAAATTGGCATTTAATCTTATTTGTTTTCCATTATAGGTTACTCTTTGTTTCTCCCTAGCTGCTTTGAGATTTCTCTCCTTATCATTGTTCTGATAAACTTGACTAAGATATGCCTTGGTGATTTTCTTTTGGTGTCTATTCTATATGGTGTTCATTCAGCTTCTTGAATATATATTTTTCTCATTCTTTATTATTCCTGGAAAGTTTTCATCTAAATACTTTTTCCACAACTTTTTTTTTCTTTTCTTCTTTCTTCCACAACTTTTACGGTGCCTTTACTTGCTTCTTCCTGTTCTGGGATCCTATTAATGTGCATGTTATTCCTCTTGATGGTGTCCCACATTATTCCTAGGCTTTCTTCTTTTTCCTTCTTTTTTGATTCTGCTTTTTGTTCTAGCAGATCAGTGGTGACAATTCTATTTTCTATTTCACTGGTTCTGTGTTAAATCTCTTCACCTCTGGTTATATGTCCCTCTAACATGTTGCCAGTATCTGAAACACTGGTCCTCATTTATATATGAACTGTGATTTCTTGTTTGGTTTTTTTTTTCCCAGAGTCTCTAATGCTTCATTTTTTTTAAATCTACATTGCTTTGGTTTGTTGTTGGATTTTTTTAAAGTTCCTCTTGGTTTTTCCTTGTCGTGTCCTGTAAATTTTCAAGTTTGTCTTTTACCTGTAGAAAATATTTAATCGGGGCAGCGGCAGCGGCGGCACAAGCGGCGATGTGAGCCAAAGAGCAGGCTCCAGATGCTGGTCAAGAACCAGGGGACCCGGCAGTATCTGCACCCCGAGCGCCAAGCCCCAGAGGCGTCATGGCAGAATACGGGACCCTCCTTCAGGAACTGACCAACAACACCACCCTTGAAGATTTGGAGCAGCTCAAGTCAGCCTGCAAAGAGGACAGCCCCAGTGAGAAAAGTGAGGAGATCACTACAGGCAGTGCCTGGTTTAGTTTCCTGGAGAACCACAACAAGCTGGAAAAAGAAAACCTCTCCTACATTGAGCACATCTTTGAGATCTCCCGTCGTCCTGACTTCCTCACTATGGTGGTTGACTACAGGACTCGTGTGCTGAAGATCTTGGAGGAAGATGAGCTGGACACTAAGCTCATATAAAAGCTCATATAAGCCCATTATATGAACACGTATTCCCAGTGCCAAGAAGTACAAAGACATTATCCGGCGGCCCTCTGAGGAAGAGATCATCAAACTGCCCCCCTCTTCCCCCACCGAAGAAAGCCTGAATAAGGGGAAGGAAGAGGAGGAAGGTTGGATCTTTGTCGGGCCACTCCCCTCCACCATTCTGAGAGGGAGCAAGGGCACCTCCCTCCCTCATCTACCCACTTACTAACCTGGTCCTAATCCCCTTACTGTGCACATGTGTGTGCGTGTGCGCACGCTCTGGCTGTCTGTCTAAATGTCTAGCTCATCTAGTTCCTCCTCCCTACCCAGGGGCTGGGAATCAAGGCGCTGGGGGAGGAGGGTTTAAGTTTCCCCACTCAAAGGACGGTAGGGGGATATTTCTATAAAAATATAAATTGGTCTGTTTCTCCTATTTCCCTTTCCTCCACTCACCACATCTCTAAAATGTGGGAGCAGAAAGGACTTGCATTTTCTTGTAGCAAAGGGCGGAGGTGGGAGTGAGACAGTGAGACGTGGAGAGATGTAAGGAAAACCAGTGTGGATGTCAGGTGAAAAAACCGCCAACCTCCACCTGGAAAAGCATGAAAAGCCAGAGATCAGTGTTTACACCTCTACGAGTGACCAGAAGATTCAAATTTTCAGATGTTTTCAGATTGGAGGACCTAGCCAATAGCAGGTCCCTATTTGTTCCACTCTGGGCTGGGCATGAACAAGGGAAATAATGAAAGAAGACAATGGGATTCTTTCCTAGCCCCAAAAGATCAAACCCAACAGAGCATTCAGCATTATATACGTTTTCACCCCAACCACCTCTATTTTGGATAGACTATGTTGGGAGCATGCACCACTGAGCCAGAGATGGGGATTAGGGCAGGGAGTAAGATCCCATGTCCACTCCTTTATTCCTATTCAGACTGTTGCACACACTGACCCTAAAGCTAAGGAGATTGGGGAATGAGATCTTTAGGTTTTAACCTCAATCCAGCCCTCACTTCCAGGGTCCCAAGGCAGCAAGTGAAGGCAACCTTCCCTCCCTTTCGGGTCTAGAACACCCTTGGGCCAGCAAAAAGGGAAGAAGTTAACTAGTTTTCCTTTGCACTGATTCTCAACCCAATTTAATCCCAGAGGGGATGTGGTAACCCCTCTCCCAATATCCTGGCCCCTTGGACTCACACATACTTCCTAGTCAGATCACTATAGTGAGTGACCACAGCCTCCTGCCTATCCCATGATGCCCCTCCCTACCCTGACTGTGCTGTGTATACATATATATTCTACATATATGTATATTAAACCTGCACTGCCATGTAAAAAAAAAAGAAAATATTCAATCATTGTTCTTTCAACTTCTGTGTCAAAAAGATAGATCAGACTTCCTGGCTTCAGGAAATCCATTGATCCTGTGTTACTTTTGGGGACTGACATCTTGTTTTGGGTTTGCATAGGGTGTGAGGTAGACTGCTTCCTCTGTGACGTTTCTGTGGTAAGAGTTTTTAGCCCCTGAGGCATTGATAAGCTCTTGGTCTGAAATGACTGCTCCAGAGGAGGGGAGGCAGCTAACCTGCCTGAGTTTCTCTCTAACTTTTGACTCAAGGGAAGATTTGCTTTAGTTTGAGAAAGATATGGCCTGTGAATTTGCAGCCTCTTCTATTAGGCGACTGCTTCAGCTAGGCCAGTCCCAAGTGTCTGATTATAAGGCAGCTCAAGCTTTGAGGGAGGGGATGAAATGAAATGGGTTCACCTGTGATACTTATGTCCCTGGTGCAGTTCAGAAGGATGGCAGCAGGTCATCTTCCAGGCATTGGGGCTGGGGCATCCAGTGGAACCAGATCTTTCAGATGGTGAGGCAAGGAGAATCTTTGTTTTCTTGGTGTTGAGCTGAGATCCTTCTGCAGCAAGTGCTTCAAATATTCCTCAATGTCAGCAAGGAGGGTTGTGTCATCTGCACAATACAGATTATTGTAGAATGGGAGTCACAGAGCACTTGATTGTGCTTGGACGAGGAGGCAGTTGTCAGAACAGATCGAGGAAACACTGCTTGGCTCAAAATTGGGGAGGGTTTACATGAGGGATATATCCTATCTCCATACTTTTTCAATCTTTATACAGAAGAGATTATCTGGAGGCTTGGCTTTATGAGGAGAAATGTGGCATCAGGATTGGAGGAAGACTATCTGCATTATACAGGTGACACAACCCTGCTTGCTGACACCACCTGATTTGGTTAGGCACATTTAATTCTCACAATGATATCTTTGCTTTTTTAAAGCTCTAAAGAGCTCTTTTGCAACAGATTTGTCCAATGTAATACATTACTTGAGTCCTTAACTACTGCTTCTGTGAGTACTGCTTATGAATTCAAGTAAAATGAAATCTTCCTAACTCCAATTTTTCCTCTGTTTATCATGATGGTGCTTATTGGTTCAGTTGTGAGGATTTTTTTGTTTTCTTTCTATTGAAATGTAATCTTTACTGAGTTTCATCAATAAATGTCTTAAGTCCTCTTCTCTTCCAACAAGTAAGCCCATGTCATATGCATAATTTAGATTATTAAAAAGCCTTCTTCCAGTCATGATGTCACATTCTTCTTCCTATAGTGCAGCTTCTTGGATCGTTCATTTAGCATACAGATTAATTTCAACTATGTACCATTATTTGAGTGAAAATTTTCAAAGCGAATATGTCCTCCATTCAAAAATTCATATATGTCTTCGTTCATGTAATTTGTTTTAATACCCACAATCTAACAGGACTTATTCTACTTCTCCCTGTGCTTCCCATTTATTCTTCGTTCTTACCCTTTACTGCCTCTGAACTTTGTGTGCAAATGCTTCCCTTTTGATTTCTAATGGTTGATTGTTCCAAGGAGTGTGTATCTTCACTAGAAAGTTGAGTCACAATGACAAACTCAGTTACAGATTTCAAGAGTGAATAAGGGTCATAGTTTTAGCAGTTCCACCAGACTCTATCTTATTAGTGAGCCTGGTCTTTAAAAAAAATCTCCAATTTTATCCAGGAACTTAAATTTTGATCCTTTTAGAGTGGTCAGTAGGAGTAGCAAGGCACTATTCATTTCTCTGGTCTCAGGGTAATGGAGGTGGATGTTCATGGGGTCCATTGGTTCCTTCTTCTGCTTTGAGCAGGGAGAGATCAATGTCACCTTACATGTCACTCAACACACAGACACATTTACTGATTTTAAACAGCATAGCATTCCTTTGTTGTGTTTGAATAGCTGTCTCTTGGTCTATGCACAGTTTCTGCATGAATACAATTAAGAATTCTAGAAGTCCCATTCTTTGCAATTTTATTCATAATTTATTATGATTCACATAGTCAAATGGCCCACAGAGTCAATAAAACACCTATAAGAATCTTTCTAGTACTTTCTGCTTTCAGCCAAGATTCATCTGAAATCAGCTATGATAGCCTTCATTCCATATCCTCTTTTGAATTTGGCTTTGAGTGTCTTGGTAGGTTCCTTTGATGCACTGCTGCAAATATTTTTTCATTATCTTCTGAAAAATTTTAGTTGAATATGATAGTGATGATGTTATTTGATAATTTTCACATTCTATTGGATTACTTTTCTTTGGAATGGGCACAAATATGGAACTCTTTCAGTTGGTTAGCCAGGTAGCTGTCTTCCAAACTTCCTGGCATAGACAAATGTTTGCTTCCAATGTTGCATACATGTGTTGAGACATCTCGATGATATTCTTACAGAAAGAGGTTATTCTAGTTGCTTGTTTAGTAAAAGAAAAGATTTAACTATATCATTTAAAAGTCTGTTCATTAATAATACCCAAGGTAATTAATTTATTACATTTGTTGATATAAGCACATTATACAATAATGCAATCTTTCATCTTTTAATAAAAATTAAACAACACCTGAATCAAATAAATGCATATGAGAAAATAACCATTTATATGCAAATACTTAGTTCAGTGCAGGGCAGTAAAAAGGTGGTTTTAAACCATTAATTACAGTAGTCTTTTTAGTTTTGAAGATGTAAAAGTAGATGATGTAGAAAATAATTGATCAAGAGGGAAAACTCACACAATGATAGGATAGTGTTCAGACAAGATAGTAAAATAAAGCATTCTGACACTTGTGGAAGTTTTCAAGATAGATAAAAACCAAAGATTTTGCACGTTACAAGTAATATACAAGTCAGTAATACTTATTTTTAACTAGTTTCTCTAGGATGTACTACTCTTACGGTACTCATGTAAGGAATTTCAGAGTATGGACAGCAAGAAGAGAATGAATTGGCCACCATATTCCTTAACATATCTGAAATGGAACTCCTGAGATTTTTCATCTCACCTCTCCACATGAGAGCTCTGGTAGCACTTATACCTCAAAGGTTATAACTCTCTGGCAGTCTGAATGCACCAGCAGCTCCAGAGGAGAGAGCTAGGCAATCTCCTCTTGTGTGATTTAAAGCCTTCTGAAAACTCACTGGAAGGTAAGGTGTTAGTTGGTTTCATTTTTCTACAGAATAGTTCTTCTGTGGCATCTACTAGTTAAAAGCAACTTCCTTATTTCCAGTCATGTAACCAAAAATTATAGCCATTTTGGATCTCATTCTTTCTTTTACACTTCCCTTCTAATTTACTAGGAAATTCTCTTGCATTTACTTCAAAAACATCTAGAATTAAACAACTTCTCACTATTTTTGCCATTCCTTGTTTCTGTCCCTGGTCCTCTATTCCTCACATTGTCTGCTCTCTATCAAATGGTAACCACAGTACCTTTAAAACCGTACCCACTTCATGTGCCTCTGTTGCGCAAACATTCCCTCTATTACATTTAGAATAAAAGAAAAGTCCTTACAATGCCTAGACACCTTTCTTGATCATCCGTCTCTAATATACCTTTGCTCTAATTGTACCTTAGGCCTAGAATTATTCTTGTATGGGTAGGTAATAGAGTACCTATTGCTCCCACTTATTTTTTTTTTAACTCAAATGTCATGTTCTTAATAAGACATGTCCTGAAAACCTTATTTAAAATTGCTACATTCAGCTCACTAGCCTCCATGTTCTGAGCAGTTGTCCTGTTGTCCTCCATATATCACTTACTACCTTCTAACACAGTTGTTGACAGTTGCCACTGAGATGATTCCAACTCATGGTAACTCAAGCATGCATAGTAAAATGGTTCCATACCATTTTCAATGCTTTAAACTTTCAGAAGCAG